ATGAAAGATATGTGAATATAAATATTTGGCTCCATTCCAGATATCAAACTTCTACCTGAAATTATACCTTGCCTAACAGATTCTCTTTCAGTACTTAGGACAGAGACTTTTTAATCAGGCACACTAACCAATTTAATTTGTACCTTCTCATGAGCAAAAGAATAAGTTCAAATGAAAACATCTGCCTTGCTTCTGAGTGACAAAGTCTAGCAAGTTTTATAATCCACTTGAATTGGCGATTGCCACCTTCAACAGTAAAGAAAACGTTGTCCAAATTGAGCAAGTAAGAAAACTGAACCCTCCTGTCTTTCCTGAGCTTCATCACTAGAAGGACTACAAGCATATCAACATGTGCATCTTTTTCTCTGAAGCTGAAGACAATGAGTTGCCAAACATGATGTCGTTTTGTTAAATGAGTCAATATCTGAGATCATGAACTGTAAGAGTGTCTAGAAACTCCTGGTTAGAGCAACCTCAACTACCAAATGAATGCACTGGAATTTAAATGTTACCTCTCCCACCCATCTATTCAGATTCTTTCTATTAATTTTCTTCTGAACTGGAATGAGAATTAGTTTATAACTCCATCACCTCCACTTTATGGTAGGGAACAATGAAGGTCCAGTGCACCATCAACACACTGTGGAGGAGGATAAGAGTCTTAAATAGCAAGAAATTGATTATTTCTCATCTTGTGTCCTGGCATCTTATCAATTTAAGCAGCATAACCTGACTAATCACACAAGATAAGGCAGTGAACTCAGTCTGTCTTGTAGAGAATAGCTAACAATCATCAGTGTCTCCTGCTTTGAAGCACAGATGTCCCAAGTTTCCTCTCTGAACTTCTTCTCTGTGAAGATGAACACTTCCTTTTCCTCCATTATTAGCCTTTCCCTGAAGCTTGCAGAGTGTTGAAAATCCTATAAAAATTCTGGGTGAATTAATATAGGAGGAGTCCATATCAACATCTCCTGAATTAAAGGTATCTGCGCCATGGAGTAAGAATATCAAAACAATTTTTAATGCTGTTGTATTAGTGCATGAGTCAAAAATCAGTAATATGTTGAACTCCCACTGTTAGGAGAGAAAACACAGTGCTTAATCCTTGGATCACATAGGATGCATACACTGCAAGATGAACTATCCAATGGTACAAATGGAAGAGGTCCCACAAGTTCAGCCTACTCTGAAGGCATATGGGGTATGAGGGAACTGACCAGAAAATGAGCAACTACTAGACTCTAGGAAACGTAACGTGCTGATGACTATAAAACTGATGTCATGCATGGTGTGTTTAAAAGCAAAAGGTTGTAGACCTCTCTAGGATGCACTACTTAAATTATTTAGATGGTACCTTCTTGACAGTTAAGTTGCAATTAAGTACCAATGTTCTTTTCAGTCAATGCCAAGATTCCGAAGAGTGGAGTGACAAAGCTCATGAACATCAAAACTCAGAAGGAAAACATTTAATCTAGCTTCTTTTAAAGATATGAGATTTAGGGAAATTACTTTTCTCTGTTAGCTAAATAGTAGATAAACTCTTAAAAGTGAAGTATGAGAGGGGTAGCCGTGTTAGTCTGAATCTGTAAAAAGCAAC